ACCCTTACAAGCACAGAAAATTTATTAAAAATATTATATTTGGAGTCTTCTCCTTTCAAATATCATGATAATATAATGGAAATTTAAAAAAGTTAAATTTGAAGAATTACATATCAAATTGAACTAATTTAAAAACTTGGAAGACTTTGAAGTGTAACGTATTTTAAGGCGCCACCCTGTGTCTCTTATAGGAACTCAACATACAAGTTTTTAAAAGCTTTGGTAGAGGTCTTTAAAAGCTTTATGTGAGTAATTACGGTCACACAGGCAGTAGGACAGAGGTGGAAAATACCAACATCGTATTTTCTTAATGTAATATAAGTTGTTAGCCAATTTTTAAAAACAGCAGTACAAACAGAACAAAAATCGAAAAAATTATCAAATGAACAAAAGTTAAACTTGATCGAAGCAGCTGTCAAACAGCTGATTAAAATTAAGGGGAATAACAAAGATATATTTATGGTATGTTTTTTAAATGAAAGTGGTTTGAACACTGAAAAGCGTGAAAATAAATACTTACTTTCTGCTAAAAAAATAGGGTGTATTTTAACTTTGGCTATTTCCCCATCCAAGTTTTCAACCAGTCGCGTCGCGAAGGGTCGAGTCTCGACTCCGGAGATTTTTCAGCGATTCGCGTACGGTTAGCGTGAAATTAAAGCAAATTTAATTCGACGGGTAAATAATTATAAAAGCGGTCCACCAACCACCCACCAAAAAGGCGGCGCGGCTTCGTTCGCAACGTATCGGTGAAAAGCACGCGTTTTTCGCTTTTCCAACAGCCGTGCGCCACTTCGTACATTTCTAGCAGCCGGAAAAACAGACGCGCATATTGTGGGAGGCAATGGAAAGCGAAAACAAAACCGCATGTGTGTCGCTGGGATAACGGCGAAAAAGGCGAAAGAGGAGCTGTGAAACAGCGAAAAACTTGAGCTCAGGTCTAAAATCGGATCTGCAGTTTGAGGACAAAGAGAGCGACGAGGAAAAAGCTACTCTCACACACACACACACACCCATACGCGCCACACACTCTCCCGTGTAAAACCAATACAACAACAACATGCAATCTTTGCAAAGTAGTTAAATAATTCTGCCCTGTCTGCGCTTTATTTCCTTCTTCATTTCGGTTCTGCTCGTTTTTTTAATTTCAACAAGTTTCTTTTTCTCGCTTTTCCCTTACACACACTTACCTCCACCCACACAATCGCACAGTTCTTTTTTCGTTACTACTTCAAAACAACAAAAACACACCGCACACGAACACTAAACACCTATACCAACACAACGTCTCGTGTGACGTGCGAGCGCAGAAATTGTCGTCTTTAGATTTTGTTTGTGCACTTTTCGCCATTTCCCTTTGTGTTCCGTTGTGTGCCGAAAAGGGGGGGCAAGAAGAACGAAGGAGAGAAAGAGCGGCCGAGAAGCACCTGCGAAAAAGCGGCACGAGATCAGAAAAGCAGAAAATCGTAAGAAGCAAAAGCGACCGGCTCCCCAATTACACACACACACAATCAACACTTGTTGCAGCGGAAGAGGAGAAGGGGCGAGAGAGAGAGCGATAAGAAGGGGAGAGAAAGGAGAAATTGGAGGAGAACAAGTGCCTAAGAAGACAACAACACAACGCGCATCTGCTATCAGCGATTACCACTGCAAACGTAAGCATACAGATAAAGAAAGGGGTGTAATATACCTAGATAATACCCTATAACAATTAGAAAATTCCTTAGAGCAGATAAAACATCCTAAAAAGTAGCAGATCGTCCGTAATAGACCTATCCAACAGTTAAATTAAATATCGATATGAAAGACTTATTATGAAGTAGCTAAAAACCCAACAGATTAATATTGGTTACTTTTAATTTTGTAAGCTTGATTAATTGATGCTGGGTCCCGTGTACAAAATAGCATTGGATAATTTCTTTTTTATAGGACAATACCTTTCTTGCAATTATCATGTACATAAATACTTTTAGATATCAAAATTAAACCATCTTCAGATTTTAAGGTTGTCAATGAGAGTAAATCGCTTCCAACTGTTGGCATTGTAGCAAAGTATACTTTTCTTTCTTCTTTCCTTTGAAACAGAAATTTTAAAAGATTTTTTTTTAAATAAAATATAAATATATTTAATTTAATCTAATTTTACTTCAACATAACAATTGTTGCATACAATTAAAGTAGATTTTTTGATAATTGACAATGCTTAACTATATACATAACTAGCGTACGAATTCTTTATGGACATTCTGTAAACACCTGCCCGAACACTAATTCAAAATAGGTTTTTTAATCTGTCTGACTTTATTTTTTATTGATCGTCTATTATTCCAATCGACGGCTGATACCCTTGCTCAATTTCCCCTCACCCACATCGATTGTAAAGGGCAATGCCATAAAATAGTCCATATACCATTCATGAGGAACACTATCGGCAAACGAGTACGGCACGCTATCCGCTGATAAGTGATATGCCGGACGGACAGGCGGTGCAATTTGCCGATGGCCCGACAATCTCGCATCTGATAAGGCAGGAATCACGATTTTCATGTGCCGCACATTTAAATTAAAGGCGTCAAGCTATAAAATGATATATTGAGAGCTTTAGCATTTATCAACGATTGTTATTTTTAAACGTGCCCATGAAGGTGTAAAATATAGAGGATCAGGCAGCTTTAACTTAGACCACAAGGTACAATGTTTTTGATTTGGTTTCTCCTTCTGTTTTGCAGATGGTCAAGGAAAAGCCCAACTCGACTCGTATCTACGACAAGGATGGATTCAGGCGACGAGCTGCCTGCATTTGCGTGAAGTCTGAAAATGAGGCGGAGGTGAGTTCAAAACTATAATCATTTATAGTTAATCATTAAAGACATTAAAATAAACCGTTTAAAGTTTAATTTTAAACTAATAAACAATTGTTAATTTTGTTAAGGTACTCTTGGTGACCTCCTCTCGTCGTCCGGAGCTGTGGATCGTTCCAGGAGGTGGTGTAGAGCCCGAAGAGGAGCCCTCGGTGACGGCTGTACGCGAAGTACTTGAGGAAGCCGGCGTTGTGGGCGATCTGGGTCGTTGCCTTGGTGTTTTCGAGGTTGGTTTATGGAGAAAACTTAACTAACTTAACTTGAGCAGTATGATAACACCACATTTATGTTCCAGAACAACGACCATATGCATCGCACCGAGGTGTTCGTGATGAACGTGACTCAGGAGCTGGACGAGTGGGAGGATTCGCGGAGCATCGGCCGCAAGCGCCAATGGTTCACCATAGACGATGCTCTATCGCAGCTGGCGCTGCACAAGCCAACACAGCAGCACTATCTGATGCAGCTGCAGCACTCGAAGACGCTGGACAACACGAATCGCGTGGTGAACGCCACGCATCCACCCAAGTTGACCAATGCCGCCACCCCAGCGGCATCGCCCACCACGGCATAAGGATAGGAGGATGCTGGATTTGGATTGCAGGAAGCAGAAGCCACACATGCACACCACACTTAACCCCGAGACTAACCCAACACTAACTATAAACCCATACCCAAAGCCAAACACATTTTGACATTTTGGAAATTTACAAATAGACAGGCAGTCTTCTAGATTATGTTGATTAAGCGATACTTATGTTACCCCGCATCCCCCACATAGCCCCATTTAAGTTTAAGTCAAAGCGTTCATTTATGTCTTTAGTAATTGTATGAGAACTAAATTTATGTGTCTACTCCGGTGCGAGTGAAGAGGAGGTGAAGAAAACAAAAACGCTACACGATCAATGCTAAGCGATAACCTTAATAATTCGAGATCTATAACACCACACAAGAAAACGTAAAAAAAAACATGTAATAATTTTTGAGCGAATAGCACTTTTTGCAAACACGAAACAGAAACTTAAACTAAATCTAAATCTAGATGAACTAAACAACAAAATCCAAAAGTAACGATATCTATTAGATTTTTCTACTCTTTTTTTATAATTTACTCAAAAGGCATCTTAATTGATTATAGTAAACAAGCAAACCAATTGGATTCGGCTTTAACAAGCGCAAAAGGAGATCTTGATTAACTATGCTAAGCGGCCTAAACAATAAAAAGAAACCTATTTAAGCGATGACTAACGAAACGATTTCGTTTTGAATCTACCACAGTCGAGGATCATTTTTCAAATGAACTCTGGACTCCGGACTATTCACTTTTAACTTTTGACGGACGGACAACAACAGACGGATAAGGAATTATTAGAAATCCTTAAAATAATTAACAACAGTTGCCTATGCAAAAAGATAGATCCCACTGCAGTGGGAATATAAAGATAAACGTTAACTTATTGTAAAAACAAAATGCGAGAAATTAGAGAAGCCAGCAAACAACATATTATGAACTAATTCAACTACTAAGATATGTGCACGTTGTACTTTTCAGATACAAAACAAAAGAAAACAAAAATAACAATAATTACGATTATAATATTAACACAGCTAGGGGAGAAAGCATGTTTTCAATGTGATTTAAGAGATACAAGATACACACGATTTAATGAACAATTTTATGTGACATTTTTTCGATGATTTTTTGGCACTTCAAAAGCGCGCAACAAACGAAATTTTAATTAAAGCTCAATGGAAGCAAAGTCTGGTAGTTGAATCTATGATTTTCCAACCTATCAATTGTACTTTAGTTGCAAACTAAAGCCGACAAACGAACTTTTATCGGAATGCTAAATTATATCACAAATTGTTGCAATTAAACGATGATTTACAACCAATAAAGAAGAAAACAAACACAAAGCAAGTGTTTTACTGGGAGTATTGCACAATACACAAAATCTACTATCAATATTGTGGGTTTTTTTGTTCAAAGAATTCTGAGCGTTTTTACCTTTTGTATTACTATTAAAAATTAAAATCCCTTATTCTAAGGTGCTAGCCGTAACATCTCTCTAAGTCCTTTTTTCACTAGCTACCTAAAGTGAAACACCCGAAATTAAATTGTTTACTTAAAATTAGTTTATTTTGTATACAACATTTTGCTATACTAAATCTAAATCTTATGAATATATATAGGCTACTTCTTCAGCTGGATTCGCTTGAAGGGATGGGCCTCGATGTATGCCAGAGCCTTGAGGATGTAATCCGGAATGGGAGGAGGCGTGGGCAGATGAGCGCCGGTGGGACGATAACCGTTCTCATCGGCGGTATACTCCAGCTGGATGGGTGTGCCGTCGGGTGCACTGTATTTCACCGATCCCGTCGCCTGAACTCCACCCACTCCACTCTCCCTGGCGTCGATTCCATTGGAGGTCCCGAACTCCCAGTTGTAGCTGCCATCCGGCTTGATCTCATTCCGATACTTGGTGATCTCGGCCTGTGATTCATCTGCAGCTCTGGCGACGGCGATGGCAACCAGGAACAGGGAAATGATTAGCGCCTAGGGTGCGGAAGAAAAAACCCTGATTAGCCGTTCTATTATCGCTATTATCGCATCGGACTTACGCTCTTGAACATTTTGGTGCTGTTTTTGCTGCAGTTGCTGGTGATTACTGATCTCTAAGTTCGACGACAGATCGTTTTATACTCGCACCGATCACTGACCTACACCTACAACTTCGCAGAGCAGGTGACGCTTCGCCGGTCCGAATTATTAATTTAATTCGCATATCTGAAAATATGAATTTGACCGCGTTTTTACGAGCGTTCCTCGCTTAATAGCTCCTTTTGTCATCGTCTGTTGTTTGTTTTTAATACTAGCTAACGACACGGGTGCTCTATAACCCCTCTACTTATCTGCGCCTTAAAAATCACAGATCAATGATCGCGATTTACAGATGCTGCCACACAATGCCCCTTTTCTTATCTAATCTTGACTTAAATTCATAATAAATATATAAACTGTAAGCCAAACTTGGAGATGAGACAAATTTTTCATCGAATATTGCACACACTTATATTGTAACGTAATTTAATAAATCACAATAATTTAGTTAGCTCTTTTATAATTAAAGAAATGGTTTAATTACATTTTTTTGTACTCCAAAATAATAAAATATGTATCTATCCAATTTGTTCATAAACTTATACACACTTAAACCGATTATTTATGAACAATAATGGTACTTAAAAATATATGAAATTATTAAAAAAATAATATAAGGCAAATTTCCATATAAAAGAACCAGTAAAAATACTTTAAAGTCATAAAATATATTTATTATATATTTATTAAAATTCAAAGTACTAGCTAATTTCATATAGCATGAAAGTATCCTAGGGACTAACGAACCTAGTCCCCGATCTAACCTATCCTATCTTTTACTAAATATAGGGTATGTGGAGGCGCCAAGACGCGATTCGGACTGTCACTCGATTAGCGGCTTTTGTTGTTAATGATATGCAAATGCGAATATGAATGCGGGCAAATGCCGGCAGCGCAGTCAGGGCTTGAATCTAAGTCGAACTTGAAAATTCAACAAAACGTCTAGTGTCATCGTAAATTTATAACAGCTTCTGCTGTTTTTAAATTATTTGCATTGTTTTTTTAAATTTCAAGTTGTATTTATTTCAAAGCCATCCAAAAAGTATACTCTTGAATAGTGCGTTAACTAAATTCTTTTGCACATTTTTCGTTGTTAACAAAAGGCTATTTTATTTTCTATGGTTAAATTAAGTATATTCAAAGATATGGTTTTAAATTTTTATTGTTAAAAATGTACACTTCTAAGACTATAATTTTATTTTGCTTCGACCTCTTCTGTATTATCCTTATATACAGTTTTATTTTGGTTTTTAGGGAGGCTTCAAAAAATCAGAACGTATATTTTAATGCAGATAAATAATGAGTTAAGTATAAACTCCTTAGTTAGGCTATACTGGTTTGAATCGTACCTGTAATGCTTAAAATGGTAAAGCTTAGCACATTAAAAAACGTTAAAAACATTTTTTTTAATTTTTTTAAAAATGTTCCAATATGTAAACCATGTATATTTGTGCAATTGTGGGTCACCTTTTTAAACGGCATAGAAAACTAACTAAATAACATAACGAAAAAATATAAAAGAAAAAAGAAAAATGTTGCATGTGGAATTTTTTTAATGACATTTTTCGAAAAAGGCGCAAAAAGTACAAAAAAAAAAAAACACAAATCGACCAAATAAAGTTCTTGTGAGCCTGACTTTAGAGGAAATAACATTTTTATAAAATTTTCTTTAAATCATCATCGTTTATTTCAACTCAACATTTTTACATATCGTAATAAAGCTTTTAAAGGGTTATCACATCAGACTTCCAATCGGCTTAACCGAAGATGGTCTTCCGGCTGAATGGCGATGCCCTGCGCTGCTGGGTCTCCTCGTACTGGGGATGGGTGCGGATGTACTCCAGGCTCTTCAGGATGGCAGCTGGGATCGGGGGAGGAGTGGGCAGGAGGGCTCCCTGGGGCTGGTAGCCGTTCTCGTCGGCAACGTACGCGATCTGGACGAGCTCTCCTTCGGGCGAGTACCACGAGAAGCCTCCCTTGGCTTGGTGTCCTCCCAATCCGGACTCCTGGGCGGCGATTCCGTTGCTGGTCTCGTAGGCGTAGTTGTAGGTGCCCTCGGGTGCGATGTCGGCACCACTCTTGGTGATGTAGGCACCAGCATCCTGGTTGTAGTTGGCAGCGGCGTAGGCGCAGGCCAGGAAGGCGGAGGCGACAAGCATCTAAAAAAATAAAGATATGACAAATTAGTTGAATATCTTTATATATTTATTAAATCAAAATATGTTTATATATGTATATATATTTTTTTTAACTGAAAATACAAATTGTTAAGCCTTTTAATTTTCTATTAAAAATCTATAAGATTGTCAGAGTTCAATTAAAGTCAATAAAATGGAACATAAACAAAAAATGGTTTTATTAATGTATTGATATTAATGTATTTAAAATTTTAAATGTTCCAATTAACGCAAATGTTTCACATTGATCTTGGCCAAAACGTAAAAGTGCCCGAAACATTCAGAATTATAAATAGTTTTAGAAGGTATTTTTTTAATAATTTAACTAATTTCTTGAATTTTAAAATGATATTAAAACGTTTAACTTTTTGTATCCTGGGTATCCGTTTCGATTGTTAATATACTTACGAAGCGGAACATCTTTGATGGATTGGAGGAGTGCGTGTGTCTGATACTGAGAGACGACTCTGAATGATGACTTTGTGGCAGATAGCTAATGTTTTTATAGGAATTCTCGGTACGAAACCCGATCCACCCAAACAACTTTTACAGCCGAATGCAGGAAACTCATCTAAATAACAATGGCCAAGACTAAGTTGGCCAAACTAGAGCGCCGTGAGCAGCTAAAATGGTAAAGAGCAACGCACAGACTTAATCTTTGGCTCTTAAATTTTACGTTTCAAGCTCTTCAACTAAAAACTAAACGTCAAATTGATTTCAATTTATTCATTTTTTTACAGCTCTTAATTAATTGTTATCATTATGACTGTCATGGCACTCAATATATATTAAAGTCCTTTCATCGATCTCTTTTTACAAACCATTTCTTAATAAATATTTTGGTTTAAATCGATTTGGATGTTTTCTCTATATTTCAATGTGTTTAAATAATCTCGAACATTAAAAATACTAAATATCCTTATTTTAAATTGAAGCTTGAGTAGAATCCGCCTGAATATGCTGACTATAGAAAGCAAATTTACATATTTAAAAAATGTAATTATTAAAAAATTATAACAGACATTTGTTTATGTGCTAAGATTAAATCGTGCTATTGGTATACTGTCGAATTAAATTTTACATACTATGTACACACCAACAAATCTTCGATCGCGTTGACAATTGGTTTTTATTTAAATTTCAGTAAAAAAAAATAGGTAAAACAGTAAATTAGACATTTCCGATCCCAATATAAATATATATATTTCCGATCAGTTTAACGTTACTTGGATGAAACATTCCCAATGGTCTACTGCGTATATATAAATTGGAAGATTTGGAATATAAAACAAAAAAGGAAGCATAGTTCAGCAAGCCAAAGTTTATATACCCTTGCAGCTATTGCAAAATAAAATATTCTTTTAAACATCCTAATTTCGGTTTATATGCATTGAAGCAAAAGATTTTTGATCGTGTCCTTAAGCAGATATATGATTTCGTTTTTTAATTTGAACAAAAAAAAAATAATTGAAGCAAATTACGTACACGGTTATGGAAAATAATATATTTTTTTAATCAACCAAGTAGTTGCCATTGAAACAATCAGTATCAGTATCAAAAAATCAACAATGTAGTCATAAGTCAAGCTTCTTATTACCAAAATTAATTTTTTTTCTAGCTTTATTATTAACTAGGTTATAAATGCAGTTCAACATGTTTATATACCTTTCAAATTAATAGACTTTTAGAGTTTTTTTTCACAACTTCTTCGTTTATTTCAACTCAACATTTTTACACATCGTAATAAAGCTTTTAAAAGGTTATCAAATCGGACTCCTAATCGGCTTAACCGAAGATGGTCTTCCGGCTGAATGGCGATGCCCTGCGCTGCTGGGTCTCCTCGTACTGGGGATGGGTGCGGATGTACTCCAGGCTCTTCAGGATGGCAGCTGGGATCGGGGGAGGAGTGGGCAGGAGGGCTCCCTGGGGCTGGTAGCCGTTCTCGTCGGCAACGTACGCGATCTGGACGAGCTCTCCTTCGGGCGAGTACCACGAGAAGCCTCCCTTGGCTTGGTGTCCTCCCAATCCGGACTCCTGGGCGGCGATTCCGTTGCTGGTCTCGTAGGCGTAGTTGTAGGTGCCCTCGGGTGCGATGTCGGCACCACTCTTGGTGATGTAGGCACCAGCATCCTGGTTGTAGTTGGCAGCGGCGTAGGCGCAGGCCAGGAAGGCGGAGGCGACAAGCATCTATTCAAAAGTAATAAGAACACAAAATTAGTTAAATATATTTTTAAAAACTTTCAATAAGTGTTTATAATTGATAAGAAAAAAATAACATTACAGCAACATTTTCAAAAGTATGAAATGTTTTTAAGTATTTTGTATTTTTAAGTGACTTGAGGTCTTAGCAGTCTTCTTTTAAAGGGAAGTTGGTGGCTAATGTTTTCCACTTGGATTCACTTAATATCCTTTTGACTTACGTAGCGGAACATCTTCGATGGATTGGGGAGCGTGTATCTAAAACTGAGAGACGACTCGGAATGGTGACTCTGTTGCAGATTGCCAATGATTTTATACGAATTCTCGATGCGAAACCCGATCCACCCAAACAACTTTTACGCCCCGCTGCAGGAAACTCATCTGTATAACAATAAAACTAGCCGAAATTGGCCAAACTAGAGCACTAAGAGCGGTCAAAGAGATTAACAGCCACGCACCAGATCAAAATTCAGCTCTTTGCATTTCCAATTATCTCAAGCTGTGAGGCACACGCAACCGAAATAATATATAAGCTAGAAATAATATAATAATTTGAAAATATTAGATATCTAAATTGATTTCTTGTAGTTTAGTTTAATTTAAAATATGTTGTTTAAAAAGCAAAACTTTTTGGAAAAAATACAACAAATAATGATTAGAGTAATATAAATTTAAAATAATATATGCCTGAAATAAAATATGATTACAAATAAATCAATATTAAAGCTTGCTATCCCCTGATCTTAAAAAAAATGTTTGGGCCTTTTAGATGTTAAAATTTAGATTAATCCTTGTTAGGTCAAAGAACTTACTTAAAAAGATCTTTTATTTTCAAATATTATAGTTCGGTAAACAATTGTAAATTGAACAAATATTGAATTAAAAAGATACATATTTTGTATAGTTTTTAAATGATTTGATACTTTTAGTTATTTTTCTATCTTCGAATATAAACATTTTGAGTTCCTGCATTATTTACTTGACCGCAGCTGTGAATTTGTTCACTGCAAAGAGCAAAAGTTAATACCAATCGCATGCGCCCCATGCGGCAATGTCAATGTCGTAGTTTTAGCCTAGGTCTGGTCCTAAGTCTGGTTCCAAATTCAGTTTCACGCGGCACACCCAAAAAGGTGGTCTTAATTAAATGCATTTGAGACAGACACAGACGAGTCTCAATTCGATTTTAGCATAATTTATGGTTCCACTCTGGTCTGCTCAATGGTTAGTGTTAGTCCAATGGTCCGTCCATCCCTTCCCTTACCTCACCCATTTGTAATCTCCGCCTGCGAGGCGCTGAAATGTGTGCGTTTAACAAATTGGGCCATAAAAGTGAGTTAATGCCTAATTGATACGCAGAGTGAGATATCAAACTGGATTAACCCGTTGTCCGCCGCGCCCAATCCGTCTAATCCGCCTTATCCAAACACTACAAAACGTCTCGTGTCACCAGCGGCACCTTTAATGCGATTTTCAAATTTCATATTCTAGCACGGTGGTATGCAACTGGTTCTCAAGCTTCCTATTAGCTCTCAAAAATAATAGTATCAAATATCATTTAATAATTGCCGACTTTATGGCCGTTTTTTAAGATCTGATTAGAATAATCTGTTTGCCATTTGATAAAACGTTTTATACACTATGTTAAAATAGATATTATTGATGGGGGTATTATAAACTTAATTGCGGACCAGTTTTGTTGTTTTGTTTACTGAAATGCCAAAAAAATATTAAGTTACATTTTAAAGCTGGCTTATAAACTAATATTTATAAGGTAAACGATTTTACTTGATAATTACTTTTGTCATCAAATTGCATAGCATTTTAACTGCTTTTCAATAAGTTAAAAAATAAAAATAATGTTTACAAGTCCTTCAGCGTCCTTTTATGTCCGATATAAGCCCACTGTGTTGATAGTTTTAGCGATGTGCCAAATAAATAAATCAACTTGGGGGGCAAGACCTTGAAAATTCGATGAGAACACGGCGATCGTAAAACTAAACTTTATGACAACCACAGAAAGTGAAATCATCAGTCTGCATGATAGGAAATGCTGATGGTGCGTTAAATTCGGAGTCAGAGAGTTGTGGGTTTCAATAACATGGCAACATGTGTAAGACGTTTAAAAGATTTATTGGCTAGTCGTCTTTACGCAAAAAATCGTGTTAATTTCTGAGAACGGACAGCAATCACATATTTAGTACCCTTGATTTTGCTGTCGTCACTAACACGAGGATCCCCTTAACATATTCCCATAATTATGCATAATGGTTATTAATTTAATACCACCAAATTATGCCATTTTGTTAGAGGGCTACCTTATAAAGTGTGGCTTAAAAGTGATTGGGTTTTATGAAGTCCCAAATGGCACTCAAATACAACCTTCAATCTTTGACGAAACTGTAAATAAATTTAAATATTTAAATCGTTTACATTAACTTAAAGTAACAAATCGTAATACGTTATTTAGCCAAATTTAGACTAGATTCCAAAAATAAGCCCACAAAAACATTCCCGAATTTTCAAAAAGGGTAAAGCCTAATTCGAGGTTCCCAAATTATGACATTTGATATATTTGAGTGACTACTTAATTGAGATTATCTTTTGTATGCGCATCAGTATTCAAAAAGATGCGTCTTTCGATCGCCCAGCAACACTTTAAACACAATATAGTTCCAAATATGATATTATTTTTAGCCGATTTATTCGGTTTTCTTGTTTCCTCTTTTCATTAATAAACAAATTGGTTTTGCTTGCGATGCGCGTCAATGGCTTTGGCGGCTTCAATAATTCACTCCGATTCTGGGGTATAGTTATGCATATAATCGTATATAATCTCTTTGGCTTCGATTTACTTTTATGCAGATGGGGCGTCAATATTGGTTCAAGTTTTGTCAACCAAATCGAGACGAATTTATAATTTATTTTTCCCATGCCAATCTTCACATAAAGTGTATCGTATTGCTAATGAGTATTGGATACATCATTGAGTCAAGCATGAATTAAATATACTCTTTAAAAATAAATAATCTTAATCTTCTTAGACATGGTCACCTAAAAAACAAAAATACTTATTTAATATGTATATCTATTAAAGTTAAGTTTGATTAAGAAATTTATGCAATGCTATGTGTGTACATTTTTTATTTTAACCTTTTTGCAATACACTAAATGCGAGAAAAAAAGCAAACACATTTTTTAGTTGAAGTGCTTAAAAAGGTCGACATGAAAACTTCGTTTATTAGTGTATTAAATTAAATGCAAATTAATTGGAGCGAGCTCGTGTGCATATTAATTTAACTGAAACTGATACATATATTGCCAAATATGTCATATTGACTTTTAGCATTTTCCCGTGCAAAGCCATAACCTGTTGGCCTTCCGGGATGTGTGTTAAAAAATACAATAGATTAATATTTGTATGGCTTTAACAGCAAATTGCCGGATTATTAATAAACTTTTCCAAAAGTTAACTGGCGTTTAATTTATAGGATACCTTATATATAGACGACTTTTAACACTTTCCAGAACGATAAGTTCATATCAAATGTTTAAGAAAGCGTAATTGACTCAACATAGTTTCTGTTTGCCTATAACAATATAAATTGGTTAAGAAATATAAAGAAACATTGTTCAATTGTTTGCATTTTTTATTAGATAACATTTAGCTTGCAATATAAGTAGATATTGGTAGAAGTTTGCTAAGATAAGCAACTTTTTATATTTTTAACGAACTGGCATCAATGGACGTTACACATTACATTTCCTTTGCCCCCATTGAAATTTGGTATTATTTTAGAAGAATTGGGGTTTCCTCGCAAACATTTTTAGTATGTTTTGGATTTTGGTACCTGGCAACACTAAAAGAACAATTGCACGCTGCGCACATTTTATTTGGCTTATTTGAACTTTTCGATTTTTTATTTCGTAAATAATAATAAACATTTATATTGTGAAAGATGAATCCATCTGACGCCAAGCTGCTGTCCAATTTAAATATTCTTGAGATGGAACGCAAAAGAATAATAACATATCAGCAAATCCTGCTAGATCGCATAACAAGAACGAAGAATGAGATATATCAAAGGAATATAATGTTATCTCCGAAAAATAAGGTGGAAAAAGAGAACAGGAAGCCCCTATTGGTTTTGGGTCCCAAACCAAATTCCAGAGCTGTAACCAAAACTCGCGCAGCAGCAAAAGGCAAGAAGAAGATTCCAGCAAACTTGCCTCTCAATAGATTTCAGCAAGCTCAACTGATTGCTCAAAGGATAAAGGATAAAAATTGGATGATGCCGCCGATCCGACCAGATCAGTGCAAAATATGCCGAGTCACTTTAAGGGATCCTCATGTCTGCAACATTGAGAACTGTGTTTTTGGCTGCGCATGTGGATTTTTAGCCAAAAGTATGAACGCTATTAACGGGCACAGCGTGTCATGCAGAAAAAGAAATACAGATTTGGCCAAATACGAGGCTCAGTTGAACAATCCTGATTGTTTGGGACACCTAGTCAAGAGTGAAGAAAAAAATGTCTCTTAAAATGGAGTATGATTTAATGTTGGTATCTGGTACAACCATTTCTAGGTTTATTCTCATCTAATTTTTTTTCTTTACTTAGATTTCAACAAAGAAGTGCTGAAAGTCCTCTTAGTATAAAATAATATTCTCTGCTCTCTTGTTGAAATTAATTTGTTAATTTGACTCACAATTACATGTGGCAAGTAAGTACTGCTTGAAAATATTTTCGAATGCAAGTAAACAATAAAATAAATATTTTCCTTTTCTAGATTTCAACTATAAAGTGCCTTCCATAATGTCATTGATCGGCTATGAAGTTGTGTTTGGATCCTGGTAGGATAATCAAATGAAGAATATTTTTAAAAGGTTTTTTTTTTTTTTTAATTTGGTTTATATAAACATTATATTCCTTTGCCAGAATTCATTTTAAGAATTTTTTTATTTTGTATCCCCAAACATAATTTTTAGACATAATGAAGTAGTCTTTTTATTTGTTGTCTTTCGTTGCTTAAAATAAATTTCAAGTCGACACGCAATTTAAGCAAAAGCTAAATTTAGTAAAACCCTTTTATGTGCACATACCGTAAACGAAATAGATTCACCTTCCAAGTGGACTAGTAAGCGACTTAATTAATAAATACAATACTCATTCTCAATACATTTCGTTATCTTTGGTTTTTATACTTATGCTTGCATGTTCTATTTAACATTTTTCATTTAGTTATAATATAAGCACCATTTAATTGAACTTCACGGCGAGATCAAAAAGAAAGAAATGTTTAAAATTAATAGATTGAAATTTCAGAACTTGATATTTAAACGTAAGCTTACGAGTAATTCAGTGTCAAACTAGTTTTAAAAGCATTTCAGTTATACCAAACAAAAATGTAAATTTAAATTCTAGCGGCTATCGATAGTCTCTCGAAATCTCGCCAGAGGGCGCTGTGCCCAAACAGCTGTTATTCATCTTCTTCCTTGCTATTCACCCGCCCGCGTGACTGTAGCCTTCCCGCTCGCACTCGCACAGACCAATAGCACAGCCAAAACGAGGCGAAATAAAATTAACGATTTAAATTTGACCAAATAGCGCAGGATGCTGGCCCACAGGATGCAGCTTTGGAGGACGACAAATGCGGCGGTGGCCCTAAGTTCCGCAGCCAGCCGTTTCCCGCCACAGGTGAGTGAATCTCGCTGAAAAACAGCCGGCGACCTGTGACATAACCTGCAAGCTGCCAGTGTTTGTGGTCTCAAATTAAGCGGAAATTCAATGAAAACTTTGTGTTTCAGGGTGTCATGGATGGCAGAAGAGATCTCCACCTGCAGATGATGTCCAGGGGAGGCAGTCTGCCTCTGGTAAGCACCGGAAAGTGGTCGAATCCCCGCCAGCTGCGATTCGCCAGCACTGGAGCAACTGCAGCAGGAGTTACGTCTTCCGGCGGAGATTTCATGCAGGCGGTGTCCACAACGGAACTGGTGGATCTGCCCGACCTGCCAGCAGCTCCAACGCCCCCACCCCCCGATGGCTTGGACATAGTGGATGTGGTCAATCTGGCGGGAGAACCCTCCTTCGCATCCATTGGATTGGGCGGCTGGTCGCCGGTGGGCATGGTCCAGAACTGCATGGAGTTCCTGCACTGCACCTGGGACATTCCCTGGTGGGGGGCCATCGCCATGGGCACCCTCGCAGTGCGCACCATCATCTTTCCCCTGGTGATCTTGGCCCAAAGGAACTCCGCCAAGATGAACAACAACATGCCGCAGATGCAGATGCTCCAGCTGAAGATGACCGAGGCCAGGCAGTCGGGCAATGCCATCGAATCCGCCCGCTATGCCCAGGAAATGATGCTGTTCATGCGCGAGAAGGGCGTCAATCCGCTGAAGAACATGCTGGTTCCGTTGGCTCAAGCCCCGCTCTTCATTAGCTTCTTCATGGGACTGCGGCAGATGGCCAACACTCCGGTGGAATCGATGCGGGATGGCGGGCTCTTCTGGTTCACAGATCTCACCATGGCGGATCCATATTACCTGCTGCCCATGATCACCAGCGCCACATTGTACCTGACCATTGAAATCGGCACGGACTCGGCCCGTTTGTCGGCCGCCAACATGAACACCATGAAGTATGTGCTGCGGGCCCTGCCCATTGTGATCTTCCCCTTCACCATGAACTTCCCCGCCGCCATTCTAACCTACTGGGCGTGCAGCAACTTCATTTCACTGGGACAGGTTGCCGTGCTTCGGATTCCCTCCGTGAGGGACTACTTCAAGATCGACAAGATGCTAACCCATGCGCCAAGTTCACTGCCACCCAAGAAGGGATTCGTCGGAGGAATGAAGGAGTGTAAGTATCAGGAGATGTCCCTCTACCTCTATATTTATATTTACATCCCTTCAAATCCCCTTTTCAGCCTGGGACAACATGAAGATCACGAAAGAAATCGAGGAGCGACAGCGCCTGGACGAGATCCGTTTCGCCAAGGCCGGCAAGGGGCCGCTGGTCAAGACGTTCAAGTACGACCCAACGAAAGCGGCGAAGCCCGTTGCCGTGGAGCCGCACATGCGGTTAAAGGAGCCGCCCAACAAGCAGCGATAGTCATGCCATCCTGTGGCCGCCGCCGAGCGCCGTGTCTTGTTACGTTAACTTAACCCCTTTAGTCGATAGTTTATCATCCACAAACTCCGAACGATTTGCTGCTTAAATATAATTTGTAAATGTACAGAAGATTTTACTGATAACACCTTTTGTTTGGTTTTGTGAGTGGCGTAGTAAACAATTAAGTAAACGTTTACCTTTTTGGAGATAATAAATTCATCTTTTAAGATATAGAAACATGTTTTTAGGCACTTGATTACCAATTGAAGCTATTAGTGTTTTCATTTGAGATCAGAACATTACCACTAAAAAAATGAACTTTTGTTCATAAAATAGATTGTCAAAGTTTGTTAATCATCTTAGTTGTCAGTGTTAGCCTGTAAACAAGACCATAAAAGTAAAAACCTAATAATCAATCGCAACCTGAATGAAGATTCTCTAGTTGCTGACCTCGATTATAAGCAACTTGTTAGCATAGGCTTAAATAATGAATAAGAGAGCTCGTAAAAGCTTCGCTACTAACTATTATAATGATAGGTACTAGTAGGAACCGGCTTTGAACTCTTACGGTGATTCCCTGTCAACCAAGATACAGTGTGACGAGCTTTTAGATGGCGAATCATTAATCTCAAATGGACATTTCTAATAACCATATAAAATTATTATTATTAACAAATAAAAAGGTTGTTTCGTCATGTTCCTGTTGTCCCTATTCAAGGCAATAAATAGTAATTAAGGTAACTGTTTAACCACATTAAGAAAATTAAACCATCATTGATAAGCTAATAGATCACAAAAACCATAGACATATCTTGTTTCAGTGAAAGGGGATCCTTGTTAGCAGAAAAATGTATTAAATCATTTTCTCTATAAACTAAATCAACAGCAGGTGTATGTATCCAAGTTGAGGGATACAAAATATCAACATAAGTATAGCCTAACCCCTGGCGGAGATGCACTGGTTAATCACCTCGGCGAGATGTTTGTTCTCCAAAGCGGCTGCCACTCGTTCCTTGTCCGCCAGTTGCTTGTTTACGGCCTGTTCGGAGGCGTGTGTTCCGGGCGTAATCTCCACGGTGACCTTGAAACGTGGCGGCAGCGAGCGGAGCAGCTTCACCCGGATGGAAAGGCCAATTAAGGTGGCCATCGAACAATGCGGAATCGTCGGGGTGAAACTGATGTGCACAGAGTTCTGGCCATCGCTGATGCGGATTAGGTCCTCCTGCACCACGTGCAACTCCTCCAGGGTCAAAGGATGCTCCGGGTCATTGATATTCCTTATGAGATCTGGAGAGAACTATTATTTTCGACATTTTCCCTACTATATTCATTGATCTTACCAAAAATCTCTCGCTTGTCAAAGGGATCGGGCACATTTTCGTCTGCTTCATTGGCCGTAAGCACTCTTTCCTTAATCTTGTCGTAGACATTGGGGTTTATATTCTCGATTTCAGTTGGCATTTTGTTTTGCTTACTTTTTATTTATTTTATTTACACGTTTTTTTTGGGAAAATACGCAAATAGAAAACCAAAACACAGGTCAGTGCATACCTACTATTGCACATGAAAAAGTACCAAATTATACCACTTTTCTTTTTAAGATGTGTATACACTTTTTACGCGCGTAATTTATTTGAATTTGAAATTAATTCTGTATTACTATTTATGTGACTATTAAGCTAATGGCAGTCGTAAGTTTATACAAAATTACAAATTTGCATTTTAATTGACTCACATGAATTAGTCAACCCTTTTTTTTAATCAATTGAAGTTAATTTAGCCAATAAAAACTAACTGATTGATTTATTTGAATTTTAATTTCATATTAATTCCGATCAATTACCAGATCAATCAAATCAAGGCGATTCTCACCAAGTACAGTTCCAGGAAAACACCGGCCAATTGATATGTTTACCTGTCGTCTTACGTAAAGGGCGTAATTACAGACGCCTCGCGATCCATATTTATGTGCTCTTCAAATTAGCTGCGGAAATACTTAACTTTAGTCAACCAAGCTTAGCTTTTTTGCAAGCCAGTGCTAAATGGCCGACAGATGTGGATCCGTGACTAAGCCTTGATCCCATTTCGCCGACTTAACTCGCTGTTATTTTCAATTTCCACATTTTATATTCCATTTGAGCGTTTTTTTGAGAAGCCGGCGCACTTGACGGCGATTTCCTCGGGTTATAATTAGCCAGACTTATCAATATCAACGTGGAAAAGCAGTCTGAGTCGACGTCGTAAAGATTTACATAGCGAACTTGGCGTGCATCTATTGGCAATTATCACCGAATTACAAACTGGTTAACAGCCAGAGCCAACAAAGTGGAGAAGTCTCCGATCCCCGGGGCTCATAAAATGGGTTCGGCGCGATGATGGGAGCAGCAGTTTGGGAGAAGTTTTCGAGCGGTCAACATGAAGTCGGTTGTAAGTCGAGAACCCATCTTTCTAGGTTCTTTCCTGCACTTAAATTAATCGGGATTTAAAAGCACTGGTTAAGGAAACTAGTTAATTTGATATCCTGCTCAAAACATTACAGTGTTTGATTACATTCAATTTATTTAGGTTGTTTTTGTTTTTTAATTAATTGAATTTACTTTTTTCAATAATTTTATTAAACATATTCAGTATCTCCACATAAAAGTCATACATATATTGCTGTGTTAACTGAAAAGTAATATAAAGTCTCCAAAAACAAAGTCATTTCTGTAAAATTTGCGTTTTAACGAATGCATTTAATTGTTTCTCATTTCCCCATTTATTTTTAGATTATTCTTTTGGCGTTAGTGGCCTTTTGCCAAGCGGCACCTTTGGACGTCAAGGAGTCATCCTCTGAAGCTCTCCCTAGACCCAGTCCCATTAGTCCCGATGTGATCAGTGATCCCAAGCCCCCGGCAAAGGTCGTCCTGCTGAAGGATGCACCCGTCCTGAATCGCGAGAAGCGTAATGAGCCCAAGAAACCCGACAGTGAAGCTCCTGAGCACAATGATGATGATGAGAAGCCCATTCCACTAACCTCAAAACCTCTGGAGAGCCACCACGAGGATCACCACAGCAAGCACAGGCGGGAGGCTCATCACGAGGAGGGTCACAAGGAGGAGCCCCAGAAGGAGGAGGTGAAGGATGCTCCCGAGGTGCCCGAGCCCAAGAAGGAAAAGCGGGAGGCTCACCACGAGGAGGGTCACAAGGATGAGGATAAGCCGCAGGTGGAGGACCTTTCACTGCCACATGCTTTGCCCACGGATGCCCACACCGCCGAGCTGCCCAAAAAGCAGGAGAAACGCGAGACTGTGGAGAAACCCGCCAGCGTGAAGGCCCGTGAGTCCATCCAGCACAATCCCCAGCACTCCGAGGATCTGCACAAGGCCATTGAGTCACTGGCCGCAGGAAAGGCCACCGAGCAGCGTCATCAGCGCGATATTCCCGTGCCCACCCAAACCAAGGCCACCGCCGAACCTGCTGCCGCACCAGCAAAATCTGAAGCCGGAAGCACCACGCCCTCATCGCCCCACCATCTGAACATCCCACATCCCATTCCGGTGGCCGAACTCTTCGAGAAGAATAAGCATTCGGAGAAGAGCTCCTCCAGTTCCGAGGAAAGCAAGGAGAGCAAGGAGAAAGTCAAGGCCTAAACTTAAGATACCGAACTTGCTAATTGAACCATCACGAGATTTGTTGTAACTGAACTAAATAAACAAAAATATTTACATGCTTATATAAAAAGACTGTATGCTATTCAATCAATAAATATTTAGGGAAAAGGGAAACTTTTAAACTAATAATTAGCACAACAAGTTTAATAGTTAGATTTACAAATCAGTTATTCAATGATTAACAATCAACAAAATATTGCAGCAGGGTATAAAGTGACTACATCGGATAAACTCTCAGAAGCTTTAAAACATTTAAATAATAATAACAAAAAATCTATAAACAAGTTAAGCTGGCATCCTATTGTAATATATTTTAAAACTATTTGTTTGCACATAAAACGAGGTTCAGTTTTTATTTGTTTACATAGTTTCAACAATTGCATCTCTGAAAATCATATCACCATAATATTGACTTTTAATTGCAGGCATAAATAAGTAACATTTACTTGTGTAAAGTCAACGAAAAAAATTACGACTTAAAAACAAATCCAAGCTCATTTCAAATTGAAAGTTTTAGTTTAGCCTTTCCGGTAATTACTGTCTATATAATCTATATTTATGCGCTACACTGGCTACATAAAAACAAATTTAAGTCTATTGGCGAAAACATTAGTAATTTTCCCCCTAAGTTTTGGTTTTGACTACAAAGAAAATAATTTGGTCAACTGAATTTGTTTAAAGGGCTTCCCCGTATAAATTAGAGCCTCGTTACTGCGTACTACTTTTTAAAATAAATTAAACGTTTGCGTAAGCATCTTAACGTTAATTATTTTCATATTGCTAATGAGTATGGTATATACATATTATCAAAAATATTACAAATATTAGTCAAGCCCTTATTAAGCATTAAGATGATAGTTTTATAAGTAAAATCTTACAGTTGTAAAATAAACAAAATATTTTAATTGAGGATTTTTAAATATTTTTCTAATTTAAATATAATATTAAGGGCTTATAATTGTCAAAAGGGAGAAACTTTATATTTGCAATTATTTAATATAATGTATATAAATCTACTTGATAAATTTTTTTGACAAATGATGTTTTTATTGCATTTATAAATTGTATAAAACCAGACAATATTAAACGTTTTAAAAATAAGATTTTCCCGCCTTAGCTTTGTACAGTTACAAAAATCAAATTGTTTTTAAAGAAGTTTCTAGCAATATTTTGAAATACAACCCAGAGATTTGGAACGATTTCCCGAAAGTATTCTTCATGGCAAATTTATGAGTTTAAAAGCTTACACAAACAACGTTTTTGCTAATTACTGACTAAATATTTATGAGCTTATCTCACTAGTTAGTTTTCCCTTTTCTATATCATTTCCTCGGCAGCTTTTTCCTGTGATTTCCCGAAGTAATCGTCTGAATTATATATCTGCACAGGTTGATATTCCTCTTCGATGAGATTGGATCGTGGCAGAGAGTTGGATGTTGTGGGTTCGCTGGCACTTAGCTTGGCTTTCAGGGGTTTCAGAAGAAGTCCTTTGATGCTGTAGTCCGTGACATGGAGCTCCTCCTCGGCGATATCCACTGAACGCTCAACTTCCGACAAATTCGAACTGACAGCAGCCACAAATTGTTCCAGACTGTCGATCCTAGTTCGTAACTCCTCGAAACTCTCTCCGAATCCCAGGATACTGCACACATTGTTGGCCATCATGCCAGTGGACTCGGCACGCACCTAAAAGTAATAAACAATCTATTTATCAAATTTAATTTAAACAAAAACAACAAACCGAAGCCAGCAAAGTTTCGAACTCATCCAATCGGGCCAGCATATCGTCTATATTCGTGCAGAGTGGGTTTATCTCCTTTTCCAGATCGGCACTCTGTAGGATTTTGGCATAATCACGGGAAACATTGTTAATATCCGCCTGCATTTTGTTAGTTTTTATTCTAATATTTGTAAATAAAAGCAACAATGTTTTCTCCTTTAGCCCAAAACAGTGTGTGCATATAAATGGCGGGAAAAAATAGTTAAGGCGTTAGGTGATTATTAAAATACTTAAACGAAAGCGATTATTGACTTGACGCGAAAAATATATTTATTTTTGAAAAAGTCCACAAAAGTTAAACCTAAAACAAATATAAATTATAAATAAATTTAAAAGCTGTTTTTTTCAGCAAACCTGATTAGAAAAAAGTATATGCCTTACGCTTAAAAACAAAATAAATATATTTAATTGGTTGTAGCTAATTTTTCGTTTAAATAATTTACATTTCAGATGAATAGTAAACAAATAATTAATTATTTTATTACTTCCAGCTAGAACAAGTGTTACCCCTTTGAATTTCCCAATAAAAACTGGCCAGCGATTGTAGTGATGGTCAAATCTTATACGCTGAGCACTATCGTGAACACCGCTCAATCCCAAATGTGCGATATATCGATACTATCGTCAGTGGTCAAACCAGCTTTATTTTATTGATTTTGTGTGGGAAATTGTTAGATTGCACCGGAATCGGAGGAATATGAGCGGCTACCGAGGCATCGGTGGCGGGGGATTCCCCTACCGCAAGTCAGCGAGTTCCGGTAACAACATGAACGCCGTGCCCCCACCGCCGGTGCTGAATGCCCGTGGTTATGTGGGTTCCCGAGGCGGAGGAGCATCGCTTTCCAGTGGAGCAAGCCGTGGCGGGATTACCGGAAGCACTTCATCGATTTCCAAGCACGGCTATTCCACTCTGGACTCGATTAGTCAGTATACGAATGCCACAAATCTGGTGGGCAAAAGGAAACAGCACACGGAAGACGAATACTTCGACGACGATGATGAGCCCAAGGAAAGGGAGCTGGAACAGGCCTACATACCGGCACCGGGATCCCCGGGAGCACCGCCAGCGAAAAAGCAAGAGGATTCGGACTCGGATGAGGATCCCCTGGAGCAGTTCATGGCCGGGATCAATCAGCAGGTGGAGAAGGAGAAGCGCCAGCAGGCGCCCAAGCCGCCAACTCAAGCGGTGCGGGGCGACATCGATGACGAGGACGACGAGGAGAGCTACTATCGGTATATGAAGGAGAACCCCAATGCAGGGCTCCGCGACGAGGGATCCGACCAAGAAATCGAGTACGACGAGGATGGCAATCCCATTGCCCCGCCCAAAAAGAAGGACATCGATCCCCTGCCGCCCATTTATCACTCGGAGATCGAGTACGAACCGTTCGAGAAGAACTTCTACACGCAGCACGACGACATAGCCGCCCTGGACGAGGATCAGGTGCGGGAACTGAGGCGCACGTTGGGCGTCAAAGTCACCGGACCGTCGCCACCCAAGCCGGTCACCTCTTTCGGTCACTTCGGCTTCGACGATCAGCTCATCAAGGCGGTGAGAAAGGCGGAGTACACACAACCCACGCCCATCCAGGCCCAAGCGGTGCCCACCGCGCTGTCTGGCAGAGATATCATCGGCATAGCCAAAACGGGATCGGGCAAAACAGCAGCCTTCATCTGGCCCATGCTAATGCACCTGATGGATCAGCGGCAGCTAAAACCCGGCGATGGACCCATAGGTTTAATTCTAGCACCCACTCGCGAGCTGTCGCTACAAATCTACAACGAGGCCAAGAAGTTTGGCAAGGTGTACAACCTGAATGTGGTGTGCTGCTATGGCGGCGGCTCCAAGTGGGAGCAGAGTAAGGCTCTGGAGCAGGGAGCTGAGATTGTAGTGGCCACGCCCGGCCGAATGATAGACATGGTCAAGATGAAAGCCACCAATCTGCGGAGGGTCACCTTCTTGGTGCTCGACGAGGCCGATCGCATGTTCCACATGGGCTTCGAGCCGCAAGTGCGCTCCATCTGCAACCACGTGCGTCCGGATCGCCAAACTCTTATGTTTTCGGCCACCTTCAAGAAGAGAATCGAACGCCTGGCCCGCGATGTCCTCAGCGATCCGGTGAGAATAGTGCAGGGGGATTTGAACGAGGCCAACCAGGACATCACACAGTCCGTGTACGTCTTCCCCAATCCGCTACAGAAATGGAACTGGCTGTTGTGCCACCTGGTGAAGTTCCTATCCGAAGGCAGCGTCCTCATCTTCGTGACCAAGAAAGCGGATGCCGAAACAGTTTCCAACAACCTGTTGGTGAAGGAGTACAACTGCCTATTACTCCATGGCGATATGGACCAAGCGGACAGGAATAAAGTCATCACACAGTTTAAGAGAAAGGAATGCGATATCTTGGTGGCCACCGATGTGGCCGCCCGCGGATTGGACATACCCCATATCAGGAATGTGGTGAACTATGACATTGCCAGGGACATTGATACGCACACCCACAGAATCGGAAGAACGGGCAGAGCTGGCGAAAAGGGTAACGCTTTCACGCTGGTCACCGATAAGGACAAGGAGTTCGCGGGACATCTGGTGCGCAACTTGGAGGGCGCCGACCAGCAGGTGCCCGACGATCTTATGGAGCTGGCCATGAAGAGCTCCTGGTTCCGGAGTTCGCGTTTCAAACAGGGCAAGGGCAAGAGGCCGACAAATACCCACACGGGTCTCGGTTATCGGGAGAAGGGAAATGGAGCAGGATTTGGCTCGGGTGGCGGAGCGGATTCTGGAAACAGTGCGTCTGCCCATAGTCCAAACGAAGGACCCTCAAGCAAATCCTCTGCCAGTGCAGGACCCGCCACCGATCGCTATGCCGCCATGAGGGAGGCTTTTCGATCGCAGTATAACAACCAATTTCGAGCCTCCAGCGATCGCACTTGGGAGAAAACGCTGCCCGAGTCGGGCGTTTTTGCTGCGCCAATGGTACCGCCTCCGCCAACATCGTCATCATCCCAGGGAGCTTCCTCCTCGTCCAGCAGCAGCAGCAGCAACCAGGACTCCAAAAGGGCCAAAAAGAGCCGCTGGAATTGAAACTCAGGCAGCCAGTTGGTTTATTTCTCTTCATATTATTTAATGTGTATTTGCTTTTGTTCCATCGTTTAAAATTACAGCTTATGGACTAAATTTAAACATATATTTAATCAGATATATACCATGTTCATTCATAAAGATTACGTTAGTTAAATACTCGTATGTACAACTCTCTTCCTTCGCAGCCAGATCCAGCGAACGATCCCACAGATCCAAATAAAAATCTTCATTAATTGTAATCATGGTTATGTGTATTTTATTTTGAATAAAATCACATTTGCGCATCCCAACTGCCTATCGATATTGTTAATCGTTAATCGTGTCGTTTTTCATTAAGCGAGAGAAGAAATCGAACTGGAATATCGAAATCTTTGAAGCTAAATTGTTCGTTAATCATTATGAAATATTGTTTTACAATGAAACCACTACGAATTTTGTTTTGTTTTTCTTTTTGTTTTCGCTTTTGGATATACGTGTTTATATAATAATTTAATTACGTGTGTTCTTGATAACATTGAGAAGAGATTGAGATTCATTTAACTACCACATCGAGGCGATTTTGCGTAATTTGTCGAGTTTTTCATTCGTTTTGTTAAGCGCTGAACTTGGGAATTAGCCTGGGCAAAGCTTAAAAATTTCGCTATATTTGAATATCATATCAGATACGTACATGAATATATATATATTTTCCGTTATATATAGTTCGCATATATACTCTATTCAAAGACTCGTCGGTGTGTGGGTGTTATACATATATATTAGTATATAAAAATTGGTCCATGTTAACCACATCGTACGAAACATATAGAGGAACTCAGGAGAAAACCAAAGTAAAATCCGAAAAGAAGGGTAATTGTGTGGGGGGAAATTAAAGGCAAACAAAATCATAACACTGTAATTTTAGTTTTGAAATACTTTTTGTTTTTTTCATTTATTATTATCATTATTTAAATGTATTAATTAGCTTTGTGTGTGTGTGTGTTTTTTTTTTGGGGAGGGGTGTGTTCTGTTTGTTGCCGCATATATAACATACATATCCATATATACAATATATTTAAGATCTAGCATTAAATTTGATTTACACTTTTAATAGTTTGTTTCTCTCTTCCGCTAATTATGCAGTTTTGTTTTGTCACTTAATTATACACATCTATTTTCTGTTCGTTATAGTTAATAATTCTTAATATTTTCTCCGCTGGTCTGTTAAATTTCGTTTATCATTTACCGAGCTAAATCAATTAATTTTTATATGTAGACAGGCTTTAAAAAATAATTAAAATTATGCAACAATTAAAATGTAAATGTTTTCATTTTATAAATGTAATAAAATTGTTGGGATTTTACTTGTATGTATTTTGTATTTCTCATATTTTCTCTTTTGTTTTTCTTTGCTCATGCTTATTTTGCTTTCACTGAATTAACTCTTTCTCTCTCTCTTTATCGTTTTTTAATAGTTTTAATACTTTGTAAATGAACAAGAAACATTTTGCAACAAAAGTCTGGGATAAGGCAAACGAAAAATGTAATTTTCAAATAAACGAACAAAGGACTTTCTGCTGCATTTTAAATTCGTAAATTTCATTGAAGGAATTTTCATGCTCTCAACTGAATTGATTGTTTTTCTCTTTTGTTTTATATGGTATAATGACTGTTTGTTATTTTTTTTACGCTTTTTGTGTGTATGTGTGTATTTTTTTTTTGTTTTTTATGTTCTCTTTTCTTGTCAGTTAGCTTTAAATTAAATGCCAATTAATTTAATTAATTAATTTTTAAATCACATTTCATTGTTTTTCAACACGGGCAAATTTAAATTTCCGCTTCGATTTCTCATCCAGTGTGTTGTTTTGTAATAGTTTATCCATTTTTGTGGTTTTACTTGTTGCTGCTGTTGGTTTGTGTGAGGAAACGAAAATGTTTGTTGAAGTACGAGACTGGCTTCTAGTGCACATTTCTTTAAAATTAATAATACTATATACAATTTATGGTATTTCTGCCATTTCAATTCTCCAACTCTCTCTCTCTCTCAGCCATTAGACCTTGATTTTTGCTTGTTTGTTTGTTTGTTTGTTGCTTTAAAGGTCTAGTCAAATAACGTGGCCAGCAAATCGTCGCTGGCATTGTTGTTGCTGCTGCCACTCGAGGGCGGAGTGTTAAGATCGGGCTGTGGATCCAAATAGGACAGGATTTCCATGGGATCCACATCCTGCAGCAGCTAAAAATGGGTAAAAAAAAAAAATTTTAATTAATATTTTATTTTTTAAAAATGGATATATAATTCTTAATACTTACATTCAGATCGTGGGCTGTATCGTTTATGGCCGCTGCCGCCGCATCGAAACTTTGCAGCTCGGCACTCAGATCGCTTTCGCTGAACTTCAGTTGCGTTTGGCTGCTCATCAGCGAGTTGAGCAGCTGCTCCTGTTGCTGCTGCTGGCTGTCCGCTCCACCGCCTCCCATACCGCCGCCGCCGCCGCCCATCCGACTGGGCGTGCCCGGCGTCTGGGGCGAATTGTGGCCCGTGCTGCTGTTGTTGTTACCGCTGCCGTTGGCGTTGGGCGTACCGCCGCTTATGGGCTCGTTGTGGGAACTGCTCACGCTGGGCGGACCGCCGGGGGTCATCGGGTGACTGGCCGCTCCAGGTGTGTGCGGGGTGTGGGGCATCTGAAATATAGATAGGGAAATCATAAGGTTGAGTACGGGTATTTTTAATAAAGTTATAAAGTATAAAAATAAATTTTATTAAATTAATTTAATATTCCTTTAATGTTTGCATAACATTTAGTGAAATTGACTTTGTTTTACTTTACTAGAAACATATTTTTTTAAAATTATTATTATACTGTTAAATATATTATATCATCAAATTAATTGAAAAATGTTTTTAAAATAGATTTTTTTGGTGATATCTCACAATTAGTTTTTTTTTTTGGTTGATAAAAAAAACTTAGGATGATACGTTTAAAAAATTTGAAAAAAAAAATAATATTGTTTTTTATTTTCAATATTTTGATTCAATATTATTATTTAACTAATATTTAAATTAAATTTGTATTTATTTTAGATGCCTACCTGATCGCTGAGCGACTTTTCCATGGCATTCAGCTGGTCGAGGGAGTTGACACCACCATCGCTGCCGGCCAATCCTCCACTGCCGTCGCTGTGGTTGCCACTGAAGCCGTCGTAGCTGCTGCGATTGCCACTAAAAATGATGAGAATGAGGTAAATTAATTAAAGGTTTAATTAAATATTAGAAATCGAGGAGAGGACACTTACTGCTGGTTGGTGTTGCCGCCGTTGCCCATCATGTTGCCGCTGGCAATGGAGTTCATGTCGTGCATGTTGTAGGGACTCATCGCCTGCGCACTGTCCCAGGTGGGCAGTTGGGTGGAGCCCGGCGACATGACCTTGGCGATGTCGTCGCACAGTTCCTGTTTGATGGCCGGCAGCGTCGGGTTGCCATTGCTGCCACTTCCGGTTACGTTGCCGTTGCCGTTGCCGTTGACATTACTATTTCCGTTTCCGGTGTTGCCGCTGGCATTGGTAGGAACATTCGAGGGCGGCGGTGCATTCGGCATGCCACCATTGTGCTGCAATGCCCGCCAATTGGCCGACGAATCGATGATCACCTCATCCACATCCGAGTTGCCCAGCGTGTTGAGTATGGCCCAGATGTACTGATCGATCTCCAGCGTATCGGTGATGGCCGACTTGCTGCACTCCGGGCAGCGCCACGAGCCCCGCTCGCTGTTGATCATCAGATACGCCTCCAAATCGAAGCACTGCACGTGCTTGCACTCGTGCCCCCTGGCCGGCAGTCGTATCCGCGACTTCGTGATGGGGCACTTCAATGAGATCTTGGCGCACTGCTGGCCACCGCCCTGCTGGGGCGTGGCCTCCGATCCGGCATTCGCCTCCGGTTGGCTCAAGTTGCGCTTGATCTTCTGCACACTGTGCTCCAGCGGCAACAGGTTGCGCTTATGCAGCGTCTGCAGCACCTGACGCACCGACGGTCGATGGACTAGCTGCAGCACAAACAGATGCGACTGCAACAAATAGAGGCAAGGGATTTATATTAATAAAAACTATAGGTATTTAGGTATTGCAAAAAATATATGATGTTCATGTTTTTTTTTTGTAAAACTACTGATTTTATATTAATAAAAACTATAGGTATTTAGGTACTGTTAAAAAGGCAAAAAAAATTTTAGTTTCTTTTTTGTAAAACTACTGAACCTATTTTGTACATTTAATCTTGTCTAAGATACCATTATGTTTTGAAATATCTAAACCTGAATTTGTATAGCTTATGATATATTTTGTGAAAACATAATGGTAAGGACATAGTTTATAAAAGTTGGAATTAAAAAATAAGCTCAACTAATTGTAGCCCTTTAAGAAATTTTATTATAATTTTTTAAATCAATATATATGAATACTTTTATAGCTTATATTTTAGTCAATATTGTGAAATAAAAATTTTAAAAAAATAGTCTCAAACTTTCCCTAATAAACTTATTTATTAAGTTTAAATAGTGGTATAAGATTCATATTTATACTCACACAACAGCAGGAACTGGCGGTCAGCTGGAGCGTATTCCGTCCTGGCTGGCAAACGGCCTTCAAATACAACGGACGCAGGGCGGTGCTGTTCTTCTCGGACCGCTCGATATTCAGGGGCGTGGCATTGGCGGAGACGGTGACGGTGTGCGGCCAATTGGTGTTCATCTGCCGATCATCCTGGTGGAAGCACTTCAGCTGCAGCTCCAAGTCAGTTCTGCAAGTTATTTAAAATGATTACTACTTAAGAGTTACAAATTAGAGGTTTATTATGAAGATCTACCTGCACATCAGCGTGTTGTAGACATTCTGCTTGAGATGGAACACGTGGTTGCTGACCGACAGATTGTGCAGCAGGCGGAAAGGAGCCAGGATGATGCCGTCGCGCACCGGGAATGTCAGTCTCATTTCTTCGCCTAAAAAAACAGGGTAAGTAAAAGGTTAGTAAATATTCAAAATAAGCGTAAGTAAATCCGAACTTACTGTTGTCCATGGGTGGCTTGATGTCCGGATTGGGGCTGACATAGGGCACACTGCAGGCGGGCGTCAGCGGTGGCGTGGGATTGCCAGGAACTGGACTGTGCTGATAGTTTTGCTGGAAACTAAAAATGGAAACTCACATTATTTACTGATTCTTAAGGAGAGTAGTGCACAACTCACCCTTGATTCTGGTAGGGATTGC